ACTTAATATATTTGGAATAACAATCTGACTTATGGTCTTGGGGATAAAAAAACCAATATCACGTAGGAAAAAGACATGTACAGTAAAACATATTTTTCTCGAAGACCATAAGTCAGATTGTTATTCCAAATATATTAAGTTGTAGCTGAAAAATTTCTCTACAACACTGTGTTTGACGAGCTTTTCTGATGTATGTGTCTGACAATATGATCGATTGAAAACTGAGAATTTTTCGACCAAAAGAATTAAAATTGCTCTAACACAGCAACCATCTAACGGTAGCAGCTTAAATCATTATATTTGTGATCAGCACAGTTTACTTAACTACTGATCATATGCTTTGCCAAAATCCCAAAGTGACACTTGTGGATATTTCCTCGTTAGTCAGAGAAAGGGTAGACTGTACTTACCGAGAGAATTTTCTTTGTGAAAAATACATTCATGAAGAAAAAAGTGCCGTTTCAGTGTTTTATCAATAACGAAAAGAAACTACCCTCTTCTACTTATCAACTGGTCAGTCTTTTGTTTAGAACCTCCTGTTTGCCTCTCTGATAAGAAACGGTCCTATTACCGGGATTCATTGGTTTATTATTCATATGCACCGCTTGCTGTTTTGCTGTGGCTATCGCAGGAGAAGGTTTGTACTGGAATTGTTGAGCAGAATTTAACATATTCGATGATTGTGATTTCACTGTAGGTAGTGGTATTGTTTTATTCGAGGATGGTGGAGGAATTGAGCAATTATGTAATATTTCTCGTGGTATTTGGGTTGGAGTCATTTCACCGGTATCCATTGCTTCAACAGATGATGATGATTTTAATATGAAAGATGGGTTTAAAAACTGATGATCCCCATTTGTCTTGATACTACAACAGACAAAGAAGAAAATACTAATTAGATGTGAAAAACCAATTACTGTTTTGCCTAAAAGAATGGTTAGACCTACGCATTATTTAATTGTTCTTGTGGTACTTTTCTCGGTGAACGATGTCCATGACTATTCATGAAAAATTGTGGCCTATTCAAATCTTCTAGAATCGATGGGGCAATATAGGTAAAACCCTAAAATTAAGATTATATAATATAATCTTGCTGAAAATGTTTTCATTTCGAGAACTTACAAGAAATACTTGATTTGCACTTTCACTCAACATATTGTCGTCCGGTGAATCAACTGGTGTTTGTTTTGTAAATTTGGTATCAAACTGACTTACATCATCGTCTCCTTTGAGCACAGGCTTATGTGGCGGTTCATAACGTTTATTGTACACATCATCCCAATTCAAATGACGAAAAAATTGATGACTCTAAACAGTTGGGAAAATTGGATTTTTTTCTATATGAACTAGAAACTTTAGCATAACGTTCTCACTACATAAACATAAAGTTATCCACTTACTTTCAATGCTTCGGCATCTTCCGGTCCATTTCCTAGTCGATGGCTAACTTGTCTTCTTAATAACTGTAATACAAAATATAATAGCAACACTGTTACTGAAAAAATAAATGATTCTTACATTTCGAATTAATTCACGTGCATCTTGTGTTAAATAAGCTGGAAGAACAAGCTTAGCTTTAATGATTTTATCCATTGTTCGTTTTCGATCATCGGCCGTAAACGGAGGCTGAAATAAAACAAAAAGTAATAATACAATCTGTAACCTATGCATAATAACCTATGCTTTCTTACTGCTCCAGTTAACATGTCATACATTAGCGCTCCAAAACTCCACCTGAAAAGTAACAACAAAAGGAAATGGTAGTAAAATAATTGACAGACATCATCGATTCTTTACCAGTCAACCGCTTTTCCATGGCCACTTCTTGTAAGAATTTCTGGCGCCCTGATCAAACAGTAAAGAAGTCAGAATCAACATATAAGAGAAACTTTACTATTCTCTTACATGTATTCTATCGTGCCACAGAAAGTATTTGTTTGTCCTCCTTCGTACACCGATTCCTTGCATAAACCAAAATCAGTTAATTTCACGTGTCCTAAAAGAAATCCATACGTTCAGCACGTGAACAGTAAACATTTAGATAGCTTTTTTTGAAGAATTCAAATTGAAAATTTTCTACAACAACAAGTTATCAACATACACAAAAACAGTTTCCAGTAAGAAGAAATCGCTTAACTTGAGTGCAAGTTTAATGTAGAATAAATAATTGTGTTTTTATGTTTACCTTGAGCATCCAATAAAATATTTTCCGGTTTAAGATCTCTATAAAACGAAAAAAAGTAACAACAAAGATATAAAGTCTAACTGACATCACCTACCGATAGATAATTCCTTCTTTATGTAGATGTTCCAGTGCAAGTAGTATCTCTGATAGATAAAAACTAAAACAAACATAGATGGATACCGTTGAGTTAGACAAAAAATTTATTTTTATTCATTCCATACCAAGCCATATCTTCCATAAAAATTCCCTCTCTTTCTAATTGCATGAATAACTCTCCGCCACTTAAATACTCTAATATCAGATACAATTTACCGCCCGTTTGAAATGCATAAATTAAATCGACAATAAATGGACACTAGATACAAACACGAACAAAAATGATGGAATGTATCACATGAAAAATACTCTTACTTTAACACATTCAAGGATATTTCGTTCTGCTTTTGTATGAGCTGTATCTTTCGCATTTCGAACAATCGATGCTTTTTTCAAAACTTTCATAGCAAATATACGTCCTTCGTTGTTACCAGACATTTTACGAACTTGAAAAACCTACGGCAAATAAAATGTGAACTAAGAGAAATAGAATAGTAAGTAGAGACTAATGCTTACCTTGCCATAGCCACCTTTCCCCAAAACTTTGAGCAACTGAAAATCATGTGGTAACACTCTGTCGCCTTTTGGATTTACTGTTTTTTCTGTTATTTGTACTGTTTCCAGATTTTGATCACTAAAAAAGATTTTAAAAAAAAGTGAAATTTATTAAACAGGATAGTCTCTTGGTATCTGTCTAACCTCGATTGTGTGTCAAAAGTTGTGCCAGACTGAAAGAAAAAATCAAGATCAATAATTTTTTTTATTAATAGATGTTGGCTGATCGATCATTGTTGCCGATCATATTTCAGGTTCAAACCGCATCGAATTAGAAGTCGGCTAGCATTTCATATATACAGTTATAAATTTAACTTACTTCGTCTATAAAACGATTTTCTTCATCATTTTCGTTATCGTCGTTTATTTTGCCTTGATAGTCAAATCGATGACCAGGCATTTCGAGTGGAAACAATGGCTCAGCATCATCTGTTTGTGTCATGTTATCCCTCTAGTTTTCACTTCCAGTAAATGAGAGCAAAAAAGAAATAAAACGATAGACGTTTTGTTCTTCCTTCTGGATTACAAAATCACATAATCCATATAAAGAAATGTAAAAATTTAACAGCAAAAAACTGTTTTTTATCTAGAAATATAAAATTCAACATATTATCACGACTTTCTGTAAACCATAAGGAAAGAATGAAAAGTTATTTTTAATTTTCTTCCCACAGAGTAAACGAGAGATGCCCACATGCCCTAAAATAAAATCTACTGCAATCTAATGTTATAGACAAAGACCAAGGTGTTTGATACCAGGGCATCGCGCTTAAGCTTTTATCAACAAAAATATTTGTAACATATGTTTAAAGTTGGTGGTCTGTATATAAACAGAAAGAAAAAATATGACCCTTTTGCATATCGATGACGATATAATAGTTTTGTTTCAAAAAGATATAAAAAAGAACATATGATAATACTATAATAATATAATAACAAAAAATGTACTTGGGCAATTGTGGATGAAAAAGTCAAACCAACAGCGAATCCAAAATGGGCACTTAAGACACATTAATGATATCAAAACTGCACTTATGCTCACTTATCTCAATTATTTTTGAATTTATAAATATCGCGTATATCAGTGATAGAAGTTTATAATAAATTATTCGATTGTAGTTTATAACGCACATATGCACCCAAACGAATGGCTGCTTACAACTCAATGAATCCTTAGTAACGAAGAGAAAAATGAACGCCGTGAGAAGAAATATCGCTTGAAATCGTTAAGTTGACGGTAAATGATAGCTGTCAGCCTGATTGATGATAGCTAATAGAACTGCTTTTGCGGCAAATTGTATATTTACTAACGTACCGGTCTTAAAAATGCATTGTATTAATCGTTGATACAATTTATCTATAGCATATCAACGTGAAGAAAAAGTAGAGTTCAGTTAGAATTGTAGAAAAGTGCTTTTTCGTATTGACCACACTCGATAACCCAGAAGATTTTCTATTTTAGACGAGAGATACTGGCAAAAGTTTAAGAATAATATTTTGAAACTAATATTATTTTCCTATAATAATTTGTTTTAGTCACTTTGTTTGAAAATTTTTCTTAAACTTTTGCCAGTATCTCTCGTCTAAAATAGAAAATCTTCTGGGTTATAGAGTATGGTGAATACGAAAAGCACTTTTCCGCAACTCTATATGAACTTTCTTAATAATGTGCTTTCTTTGACCATATTGACGATAGTTATACCCATTTGCGTTCAACTGACTTTTCCCAATTCAATTAGCGTTCAACATTTTTTTTGAATGGTGCGTCGTTTTTTCCGTTACTCTGCATTTCTGTTTTAGCGCCACTGATCAATATCAAGGATAATTACGTTTCATGAGACTAAGTAACCAATAATCGGAAGACTGCTCAGCTTCAAACTATCTTAGATGCTTAGAGATCTATGCTTAGATGATAAGACAGATCTCTAAGATCCATGCTTAGAGATCTATCTTAGAGGACCATGCTTAGTAAAAACGATTGTCTTTATTCAGTTCATAATTTTCTTCTTCGACCTGTAAGGAAAAGAGTACTTGAGGATAGCAGTTTATTAGAGAGCGTTAGGTTATCAAGATAGGATACTCTATACTTGTTACTTTTTTGTTCTCCTTCTCGTCTTACATGCATATAAACACGAAAACAAATATGCGGTATGGAAGAAGAATCTCTCTTGCACGAACTTATTCTTAAATAAAGTAAAAACAGTTCATGCTCTAATATAATACAAATCTGAAGTGCGTGTTTTCTGTTTATGAAATAATAAATGAAAGTTATTTGAGAGCTTATGAAATAGAAGAGTGTGAGTAGTCAAATATGGATGAAGTGCGGGCACTATTGCCCATGTAAAAAAAGAATGATGCATGAATGTTTTTCGAATAACTCGAAAACGAAAAGAGTTAGAGGGACGCGACTTCCATCAATCGAAAGAGGAGCCAAGCGGAAAGTTTTACGAATAGCTTTTCAAACGGATTTTAGAACGGATCCTTAGAAAACTTCTGGATAAGTCGAAAATTTAAAATAGCGATTTGGCCAGAATTCAGGTTTTTCCTGAAGTCTCGCGACTCCTACTTCTTTAGGTTGAAAATACGGTAGATCGGCTATTTTTTAATCCAACATACTTCAAACTATGAGAAAAGACTTAAGTCTGATAGCCAAAGACTATAAGAAAAGACGGGACACGAGGTGTCCTTGAGATCTCGATGTGAAAATACATGTTTAATGTAAGACGGTCCAGGCGCCAAAATCTCATTTTTTAAAAAACTCATTTCTTTGAACTTTCTTCAACTCTGGGAGTAAAAGAGACATTGCCACGATATTCAGAACGATCGATAGCCTGTCGATAGCATGTGTTTTTGAGACTCCCAAACCTAAAGAAGTAGGAGTCGCGAGACTTCAGGAAAAACCTGAATTCTGGCCAAATCACTGATTTTCAAGATCTTGCTTGCATCTCATTTTGAAGAAAATACTGTTTTCTATCTACTGATGCAAAAATATCAATAGTTCGCTATTTTAAATTTTCGACTTATCCAGAAGTTTTCTAAGGATCCGTTCTAAAATCCGTTTGAAAAGCTATTCGTAAAACTTTCCGCTTGGCTCCTCTTTCGATTGATGGAAGTCGTGTCCCTCTAACTCTTTTCGTTTTCGAGTTATTCAAAAAACATTCATGCATCATTCTTTTTTTGCATGGACAATAGTTTCGTGTAAACAATTTTTTTCTTATGTATCATTTTGAATTAATTCAATTTTAAAGAAATAACATGTTTTCATTTCTTTGGCTGGAATTGCTTTCGACGCGAGAATCATGGACACATGTACAAAAAGTAAATGTTCATACAAATTTTAGTCCGAAACAGAGCTGCGAAGTAAAAGTTAGATTAGAAAGTCGTTTTTCACGTATTATCTACTAATGTTTTGGTGTAATGTGCCTTTTCTTTGTTTTTCAAGATGTACGATCGGGCGCCACGTAATTATCAACTAGTTATTGGCAGTACGCTCGATCATGTTGGTCCAGGTAATTTAAACCATATTTAGACTTGTAGAAAACATCTGTCTGCAGTAGTGTGTTCAATAGTCTTTGTTTATTGGTTGTAGGAACTTATGATCATCGACCTAAATACCTAAAAGAAGGTTTGTAGAAGTTTGACTAAAGAATTTTTTTTGTCTAATTTGAAAATCTTTTTAGAAAGTTATGCACCATTTTTATCATTATCAATGCGTGGTGATGTGTTTATGAATGCTGAAAATCCCGGTCCCGGTCATTATGATATTCGCAATAATCAAGTAACAACGATAAAGGTAGGTTTAAACACAACTTTTATTGATATATATATGTATTCATCATTGGACACATAAAGCAACAGAAAACACACAAAAAGCTTGATGTTCAACGATAAGTTGTTGATTGTGTATGTCCAAAGCAGAACAACGAATGATATAAGTAGATGATACGGTTTTTTATGTCTCGCCGATTCGAAAATTATGTGTCAAACACCAGTATTAAGACATGTGTCTAAATTGATAGAAAAAAACAACATTAGGAGTAAAGACAGCCACTCACAAAGAAAGGATCATTGATTTTGACGCACCTGGAAATCTGTATGTCCTCTCACTTTTCAAAATTTAAGGAAAAAGGAAAAAATCATTATCTCTTGACGATATTTTTTTAAGTCAGTGTGTTGTCGTGCTATCTTTATATGACATTCCTAAATTTACTCATACGTGCCCTATTTTGGTATATTAAAACACGCATATTAAACATTTACACTTGAATTCACATTAAATCTATTTGTTTTGGAAAATAGAAGATTATGATGTGAATTATAATAAAAAGAATTTTTCCAATTATTTTTATTTCTACTCGAATTAAGTAGCTTACTAAAGGATTTCGTTGGCCGATGTGTATATTAGAATTTAATTAGAAGTGTGAATAAAAGTAGATTTCTTTAAATAATTTTTAAATTGAAATAACTTTCTGTGAATGTAAAATACTAAAATATAAATACCCAAAGAGTGAAACAATTATTTTGTTTCCCACACAAATAAACCTCTAGTTATCATTTAAATCTCTTGAATTTAGTGCACACAAGGCAGATTATTACTAATAACAGACATCTCATTATTTCAAATCTTGTTTAGACACTAAATCACTTTTGTAATTTTTAATAGTTAGTGATGTTCAAGTTAAAGAAAGAAGAAAAACATTATTATACGCCACTTTTCTACAATATTTTCTACATAAACATGTTGCATCTAAAGATAGCTTAGACTTTTATTCAATTTAATAGACTAAACATTCTTTTCATGTGGTTTTTATTTTTCTTGTTAGAACTAAATTAATGTGTTTTACTTCTCATTATTGATAATAGTGACTATTTTATTTTCTCTAGGTGATAATGAAATTTGTTTAATGTGTTTTTTTTAGATTAAAAAGTGAATAATTCTTACTTTAATGTCTCAACAGTTCCTTATATTTCTAATGTCTGAAACAAGGGTCACAAATGAAGTCTTAAACTAATTGTAGGTCAATATATCAGTAACAAAAATAAAAACAAATAGGCGTTTTGAGATCAATGGTCAAAATGTTCTTTTAAGCTAAAAAGTGCACCATGCACGGTAAGTCTTTACTACATATATTTAGCTCTAGATCCGATTAATTCTCTTGAAAATGAGTTAAATTTTATTGTATTTCATTAGAATTTGCTTTAATTGAACTTACATGAAATCATTTCATTCATTAATCAAGACCACATAAACGTTCGGCAGCTTTTTGTCTAATATGATATCTTTTAACTGTATCTTTGTGTCCTAATTCATTTAACATTTCATCTGTTAATGCATAAGTAAATGTTTGACAATCTTGAAATGGTAAAAATAAATCAGCAGATTTATAAGGATTAAAATATTTTTCTGTAAAACGTTCAAGTTGATCATGTTTATCAGGTGACCATTGTTGATAATCTGTATTTGCTGTTGAAAAATTATCCATAAAATATTTTCTATCATCGTCTGTAACATATTCACTTTCCATTATTATTGTTTTCAAAATATTTAAATTCCATTCAACTTCATATTGTTGATTTAATTTTGAATAGACAACAACAAATAATAATTTTAATGGATTTAAACGACGCATTGTTTGAACTTTTGGTTTAATAAAAATATCCGATGAATAGGATATTGGTGAACGTTGTTGTAAATAACCATCATTATCATAATTTTTATTTGGTGTACATGAACATAAAAGAATTAAAGAAAAGAAAATGAAACAATTTTTTAAAAATATGTTCGATGATGATGCTATTGCTGTATAAAACATGATGGATTCCACTGAAGAGTTCTATATTCTTTTCTAAAAATAATGGAATGAAAATAATGTTATTTCTTGTAAATGGGTATATATATAGAGAGAAAGAGAGAGATAGAGAGAAAGAAACAACAAAAAAAGAAAAAAAAAATGCATTTGATTTTTTTTTCGTAATTTTTAACTAATGGACTCTTTCTCGCAAGAGACTATTGAGCATGGCGGTACTCACAAGTTTAATTAACCATATAACTTGTCATATTACCG